GGCGCATTGGGTACTCGCCCTCGCTAATTCACGCCCAATTCGTGACACATCCAATACGCTCAAGTCGGTCACACCTACGGGCAACACAAATATTTTGCTCACTTATTTATCCTCCTTTGGCCGTTACAACATGTTCTGAAAGAAAATCCAACATGTGAACACAATCATTCGCTTGCCGGAGCTTCACCTGGAACCTTCCGTGGAAGGTGTTGTGCCTCTCGCGTCCTCGGCTTGGCCAGGTGCGGAAGCAGCAGGGAGTTGCTGGCTTGACGCTAACTGGTTTGACCAGGAACGCCGGCGGCTTTCGTCAACGCCGAAGGAGTGGATGTTGTGTTGAGCAACTGTCTAACTCCGGCGGCGACCCCCACAGGCGGAGGCCATGATGAAGATGAGTCGCCAGCTACACTGGGTGAGCCAGGAGCGGGAGCAGCATGGCTTCACTCGTCTACGTCTTCTGCAATTGATGGACTGTTGGCCAACCCCCTATTGCACTGCCTCCGCTCTTCATGGAGCACCATAACCACCGCTGCTGGCTAGGCCAGTGGATGGTGCCGCTGGCATATTTACCGGTCTTGCTACAGGCCCAGCGGGCTTACCCTTGGCAGGGAGCCTCCAGGCGTAGTTCAGTTATCTGCTTGACACAACAGCTCCTCGCCGCACCCCCCGGGTTTTAAGGGGAAGGCCGCCGGAAAATAGAGTTCCAACGTACCTGGGAAAATTGCACAGATACGGCAGCGGCGTCGAAACGATGAGTGTGAGGGAGGTGCACAAGTATCATAGACTCCCCCCGCGCAAATGATATCGCATACCGCTCCACATCGGCATTCTACGTGGGATCTGTGATCTAAGCGAGATCCAATCTGGCAGCGAAGTATATGTCGAGTGCGATTCGGTAGTCGGAAAAAATAAGAATCATTGGGCAAGGAAGCCAGTCTGTCGTTGTCTGAGTGACTGGGCAAGGTCGCCGAGCAGAGCTGCAACGGCATACGAGGCGCGCTACGCCGCAGGACGGCGGCCGCCGATATCGAGGAAAGGCTTGCCTCCCCAGCCCTCGCAGACTTGGTTGGTGGACCTCCCTTGAGCCTAAGGTCCTCGCCGACTGAGTCGGTCTGGAATCTCGCTGGCGATCCCGGCCTCGCATGGCCACAGGCCTGTCGTCCACGAGCACTCCCCCCGGACTGTCATTATTGGACTCGCCCTCGGAGTCGTAGCGTGGCGCGGCCTCGCCTCCCAGTGGAGGCGGTGGTAGTGGCAAGCCGGGGCCTTCGTCACAAAACGGCTGGGCCGATTGTGCGCTAGACCTGGCCCCCGCACCGTCTGCGACGGCTGAGACCGCAGCAGGCGGGGCGGTCACTGAGCGCACTTCGGTCATGGTCTTGTCATGCGCTTTCCTCGTGGGAAATTGGGGCTCTCGGTCCTCTGCGGGACCGTCTAAGATGTCATTGTAAACTCCCGGCCAAATACCAAAGGCACGACGTAACTCTCTGGCCCAATCACACCCCCCGCTTTGTGGACACACCTGGGTGCATCCCTGTGATCACCACATGTCCAGTTATGACAACGCTGAACAGCGACTCTGGCGGGGCATATAGCGCATATAAGATTCTGAAGAACAGCTTGAGCATTATACGCACCACGCTGGGCAGTTATACGCACTCGGTTGGGGATCCCAGACACGCACCTAACAAAGAGGGCCCTGCGTATAATGCTTCTTGCTCCAGAAAAGGAGGCGTGGTGCACCCAGACATGTACAAATAGGCGCAACAGTCTGGGCCCAGACGGCTTGGCCGTTGAGCCACATTCAAGGGTCCTCGCATTGTGAGAAAGACAAAACACAGTTGTACCAAAAACGATGTTTGTCCGCGTCATATTCCTTCCTGCGTCAGATGAATCAGGGGAGGAAATGAGGAAACGAACGTTGCCGAGTCAACCAGGAATAGATGAGGGAACCTGTGAACAAGTTCCTCTGCTGCGCGTCATCCACGTAGTCAGCGCCATATAGCCTCAGCCCGGATACACACCGAACAAAGGGGGTCCTGGGATTACGAGTTGGGGGGCGCGTGAGGGAGGCTGCGACCGCTGTGAATCGCTCGGCAGGAGTTACCGACACCTCAACCCCAGCATCTTCTGGGTCTGAATCAGATGGGTCGCCGATGTTGGCCGCGCCAAGACCATCTGAGCCCTCGCAGTCAGCAGCCACTGATGCCTTAGCTGCGTCGCGCGCGTCGGGATCCAACCTCGGATCCGAAAAGAAAAAACGTATCCTGAGATTCCGTCTGTAGACGGGCACGCATGCGCGGCGACGCAGTCCTCGGCTTAGCAGGGCTGCGTGCGTCCACGCAGCCTGTGGCTTGGCCGCGGCCGGGTGACTGGGAGGGGCTTATAAAGGCAGCGGTATCGGTAAGTGTCCGACTCCAACCACATTCGGGTGCCTTGCGAGGCGAACAATAAAAGTAGATGATGGCAGGCACAAAGTCTAACGAGAACGGGAAACGGGACATGGACTCAGCCGGCCGTCCGTCAACTTAGCTGTGGGAGCCAATCAACACATGTGTATGAAAGTCTATGGTTATACGTGACTCTGAACTGACTGGGGTGGAGAACCTCCCACCAAGTCCATATCGCCCAGAACTGCCTTGGACCCTAGCGT